CTCCTTCAGCTCCTCACGCATGTTGTTTTGTTTTGTTTTATGAGGAGAAAATGATGAAGGTTAGATTTAAATCCATTTTTGTCTTTAAAACAAATCTGAAGAAAACTGAGCCTGTCCTTGGGCTTTCGTGTTGTGGTCTCCTGAAGAAACCAAGTATCTGTGCAGCAGTGAACTGAGCTGAACTGAACTGAGGTCAGGCAGTGTCTTTTTGAGAACTTTCTTCTGTTTCCATTTAAAATAATGAAGGGAACACATCAGTGATAAATTGTTCTGAATTTGGGAAAGCTTTGCACTTTCTGAGCCAAATTCATGCCTCATAAAACTCCACTGCATTCAATGGTTGCACGATGATCGTAGTTGAACCCTTACATTTGTTGCCAAACAAACACAAATGGTTTGAGCAGGGAAAAGGCGTAATTCAATTTACCATGCAAATATTTCCAGACTGCATCGTTCTGTTTCTTAGTTTATTTCCGTATCTCACAATACAAGAAATCTTGCTATGTAGGCAAAATTTTCTTTTCTGATGATATCTATAACAAAACCCAGATACAGGAGAGTTGTTTTCCTTTTGGCATCTGAGGACCCACTATGATCCATTCCATCTTTTGTTAGATTTTTCAAGTCCTCCTTGGAATAATTTCTTTTTAATAAGTGTCTCCATGTACCCAGACTTCAGGTCCATCTTCTGCTGTGTAACTGTAGTTTGGGGAGTACGTTTTGTTGGGCAGTATCTGGAGGCAATGGAGTTTAAAAACCGGAGCTGAAAATAATTTGCCTTGTTTGCTTGAAATGTGCTTGATAGGAGATAAAGTGCTATCTGATTTAACTTGATTGTTTTCAAAGCCTATTTGCCATGTCCAGCTTAAGGTTTTGAAGGCGTCCTTGTTGCTGCTGTTGTTTTTGTGCCTCTGCAGCTTCTACAAAGAGCAGCCAAGGTCCACAGAAGAGTCTAGCAAGCTAGAGTGTATCTCAAACTGGGGAATTCCTTGGAAACTTTCTGATCCCTCGTCCATAAACTTCTTCCAAATGCTTGCAAACCCAGTTGTATTTTGACCTCACTTTAATTACTTTGACTGTGAGGTAACCCATCAGTTCCCTTTTATTTTCTTAGAAAAATAGAATAATTAAGGTTGGAAAAGGTTTCTGTGATTTATGAGTAAGTGGCAAAAAGTTTGCTGAATTACTTGATTGCAGAATGAAGACCACTTATCTGCATTACTCTGCCTTATTATGTTCTGTAGTGAATAAAATACACGTAACATGTGTGCAAGCTAATGACAGCAGTCGTGCCAGTGCCAACCGTGTTGGTGCTGCAGTGCCAATATGAAGTTATTTTCTCCTTTTTATTTGCCCAGAGAATTCATATATACATTTCTGTGAGAAAAAGATGACTGTTGTTGATCCACATGCATGATCCTGAGTAAGGAAGTTTTGGAAGCAGGTAACTCTTTCTAGATCAATTGATGTAAATGGAAAAATAGGCAAACTCTTATGAGTGCCTATAAAACTTTATTTGGCTCTGAAATGGGAGTTGCAGATTTATCATTGTGTAGAAATGTAGAACATATTCTCTGAAATTAATTAAATGAAGTTAATTACTTAGTTCTGGAAAAGCGGTTGCTTCCTTTGGAGAAGAAGAGAATGTTAGCAGGGAGAAAGGTGCCTGGGTCATTTGTCCTTTTGCCTGGAGAACTAATAATTTAAAGCTAGTGGTTGTGGTAACTGAGTTCTATTACACGTTGATTAAAACCATACTTTACTCTGCAGACGTTTATGGATAGTCAGTGTTGCATTTGTCTCAGTTCAACACTGCTGCACTTACACCACCCATTCATTGCCTTTCTTCTCCATATCACCACCTGGTTGGCTGTTTTTGCATATTTACGTTACACACTGTTCAGACAAACTTTTAGACACTGTAGGCTCTGTATCTGAGGTGTATTCATTGTATTCATCTTTCACATTAAAAGACACCAAACAGTTAGATAGCTCTATCCGGCCAGATCCAGTTACAACTACCTTATCTGTGCAGCGCATTTAAATGCAGACTTCTGTCATAAAAAACTTTCAAATACAGTTACTCATATGTAAGCTGACCATTGTACAGCACCAACAAGACTACAGTTGAAAAAGCAGGATTAATTTCCTTCTGAAGCGTATCTTAGTCCTGATGGGCTTGCAAACCTACAATTAGATTCACATTTGTCATGCTTGAAGTTAATTATTTTTTTTTTCAGAGCACGTTGTTTCCAAGTTGAATTTGTTTTGAAATACCTTCCCAAGTGCCTTTATCGGTTGGTAGAGATGCTTTGGTTTTGTATCAGTGATTTGTTGGACATTTCATGTCCCAACTTCAGCAATGTAGCACAACTGCCTTTTTTTTTTTCCTTCAAACATAGCTGCCCATTAGCAGTATTCTGAACTAGAGGGTACATTAAGCAGGCTTCATTCCGTGCTCTGGTGAGGATGGCCCAAACATATCAGTGTGCTTAATGAAGATTGGCTGCTTTAGAAGATATTCCCGGCTTTGGTCTATTTATCCATTGTTTTCCTAGAAAGCTCTATGGCACTGAGCTGATCATGAGAACATGCTGTGGTTTATGCGTCCAGTACTGCCCTGCCTTCCCACTTAGCAAATGCTCTTACACCCTCTTGAGATAAGGCAGTGGCAGCTCAGCTGTGTGGGAAGCAGAATGCCTTTTGCTAATTGTGTCGTTCAAATTAGATATGGCAGGAACGCAGATAGAAGGGCATTTCCTTCTTGACTGGCAGGCTTTAATGGATCCCAAGTGAGAGAAATCACTGCTCTGTGAACAGCTTTGGGAGTGCTGCTAGTTAAGAACTTTCACACGCCTCATTTGGCCTATTTCCAGAGAGGGAGGAACATGCTGCTCAAGGTAAGGGGGCAGAAAGAACATTTCTGAGCAGTTAGATTCAGCTCTTCTATTAAAGTTTTCCATCACTACTTGCTGGAGAGCTGTGCTTTCTCTTTGTCATAGCTGGGAAAGTTGGCAAGTCTTGCTCTTTGCGGATCTGATGGATCTGCAGATCTGATGGGTGTTGAATAGACTTTGGTACCTGAAAGAGAATACAAGGCAGCTGCTGTGTTGGTTGGACAGCTAGTTATCAGACATTGACTCCTTCATTTTCACATTTTAATAAAAACAGACATTTCTCAGGACATTCTGTCATTCTCCCCTTTGTGGCCAAACCAATTAGTAGGGTAGGAAACACCAGGTAAATTAGAATGTCATGTATTTTTAAACATGTACAGCCAGTGCAGTTTGAGATCGTAATCTCAGTGATCTTAATTATAAGAAATTGGGATAGGTAGTGCAAATTCACCAAACAACCAAAGTTGATAGGTGTAATTGGTTAAAGACCGGGGTACTAGGTGATGGAAGTGAAACATGACTGTGCTGAAATATCCCTTCCCATTGTCCTGTACGAGAGAGCAGCATTCTGCCCTGCTGCAATCTGCAGGCTTGCTGCATCAAATTGTATTTTAACACATGCACATAACTGCAAACAGAGCTTGCCCTGAGGCAACACATAGCACTAGGTTTTATAATAAGCAAGTGAGCTTACTCTCTCTGCAGGTCTCTTGTCCATCCCCTCTGCCCCAGCACCTTCTCAGCAGTGTCTCTGGCGCAGGCTGCAAAGTACAGCTGGCTCTCTGTGGGACAAGCAGTTTGACATTAGTTAGCTGCTTAGCCACTGCTCTCAGATCCTCTGGCTCTACAGAAATTAATCCATGTAGAACAGCGTTAGAAACAAAATAAGTGAGCCCTGACAGCCTTATTAAAAGGGCTCGAAGCCAGAGGCTTTGTTGAAAGTGGTGCCCGCACCCTGTTTCTGTTGACTCAGAGATTATCTCACTCCTTATTCATTAGCGGGGTCAGAGGTGTCCTATTGAAAAGATATCCCGGGCCGCTAGCAGAGAGCAGGTGCAGCCCCTGCCTGGGAGCACAAAGCCAGGCTGCCGGCGCTGTGGCCGGGCTCTCGAGCTCTCAGAGCTGGGGAGCATCACTGCGTGTAGCTTCAGTGCCTTGTTTGATGGAGTGGAGGTCCAAAGCCTGGTTCTTTGCTCTGTTGCAAACCTTAAAGACAAAGTTTTGTGTTCTGCACTTTAGAATATATATCTATTTTTGTGGGCATAAGACCATGAAATATGAAAGAGCATTCTTTTGGGTAGGGTGATAGTGAGGGTTTCCACGTACGTGTTTATCCACTCGAGCCCTATTTTTTGGAAAAAACAAATAAAAAATGACTCTTCTGATAGTTTGTGTGGGAACTGGATGGTTCCAGGGATTGCACTGAGGGGGAAAAAAAAAATACAGAGATTCAGATTAGGTAATGTAAAATGAAATAAAATTAAATTAATTAGAGTTCTTTGATTTTATTTTTTATCGTGTTGCATAGAATCAGGCTTGCATAAGATGATTGCCTTTTCAAAACTGTAGAAGACTTTCTGGTTAAGATACTTTCTGTGGTTTCTACAGCAGCGATGGTCATCTTAGAAACAAGCAACTTTCCATCATTAGAAATTTCTTTCTTTGAAATATGTTTAATGCATGCACACATACATAAGAAATGTAAGTAAAATGAGCTAGAATCTACATTGTTATTGCCAGTCACCTTTCTATCAGAAGAATAATTTACCTTTAAAGGAGGGATTTGAGGTAGATGACTGAAGTCCTTGTGGATAATCAATAGACTTAATCCATTTAATTTATACCACTTCATTTTTCAGCCCATATCACCATTGTGTCAGATATCAGTAAGGTGGTTGTCGTCACCACATCCCCTTTACCTGATGTACTTCATTTCTGTCTGTCTCTGTGCTGTATAGTTGCAGGGCCATGGGATAGGAATACTGTGGGAAGGGAGTGTTTGTGTTTCTTGAAGCTGAACAAGACTGTAAGCTTCGCCTTCACCATTGCTCGTGTTTCAGTCGTCTCAGACTGTTCCTCACTATTTCTGTTCTCTTATTTCAGATAATTCAGCCCCTCTTAGAACTTGATCAGAATCGCAGCAAGTTGAAGCTGTACATTGGACATCTGACAGCCCTCTGCCATGACCGTGACCCCTTGATTCTGCGTGGACTCACCCCACCTGCTTCCTACCATTTGGATGATGACCAGGCAGCTTGGGAGAAAGAGCTGCAGAAGATGACCCAGGAGCAGGTGAGTTTGTGGTCTGAAGCTCTGAGAAATGGTCTGAAATGTTTATATAGGCCATAATGATGTGCCACACCAAAATGTTGTAAAATCATGCCTAAGTGGTGAAAACAGCCAGCAAAGATCCACAGTTCAGCTGGTGGAAGAAGTCAGTACTTCTTAAAATCATTGGCATTTGATATTTATTATGGAATTTTATTTGCTCTTGTATCTGTGTTTGAGAACTTGCACTTAGGCAGGTCATGGAAATTATAACTGCAAGATACCCCTTTTGCCATGTTTTGACTACTAACAGATTTTAGCTGTTCGTTATAACTTAACATAGGCATAGGGATCTTAAATCTTTTTCTAATGACACAAATCATTTCTATTTTAATTGGCATATTTTTATGAGTCACTCACTTTATGAAAATGTATGTAATGCCTTTATCATCTGCAGCAGTATGTTCTGCCAGTACTTTCTTCTGCTTTTTGTATGACCACCTTGCCCAGATAACTCAGTTGAGATTTGACCCCTGGTACTAAGTGCCGTACATCCATGTACACATGTATGCACGCAACACACACACACACACACACACACACAGAGTGGTTTCAGAAGTCCAACAATGTATTTCCAAGTGTTTTAGAATACAGAACTGAAAGGTCTTAATGATGGCTTGTCTGATGAAGTCATTACAGAGACTGTCAATCTAGCTATAATTCAACTACAGAAATAATCTTCCTTTCTCCCAGCTCTGGTGATGTCTTGTCTTCCTTAATCCCTTCCCTGGCAGTTTTTATCTCTTGTTTCATACTGTAATTGATCACTCCCCACGACCTTTTTTTTCTCATTACTTCCTATTTCAACCCTTTAATTTTTATTTTACTCCTGAATTACACATACATTAGATAAACTCATATAAGGCATATGCATCTGCTTTTGTTCTTTTGAACCTTTGGATTATAATGCTAATTCTTCTACCAAATTGTTCACTACTCTGTGTATACAGCAAACTCTACTCAGTAAGTACAGAAGCTAGGGTAAGGCCTATATAAGTAAATGGGGTTTTGCAGGTCAGTGAACACTATATTGAGTCTTACCCAAATGCTTCAGTCCTGGTATTCTTCTTTCATAATGCTCAATTTTGATTCAAAAATCTGAGACAGCAGCTCAGAAACTAAATTACAGGAAGCCAACAGAAGCATATCTAACAATTTATAAAGACCAGACCTCTAATGATAAATATGCCTGTAACAGGGTTTAGATGGTACAAGACAGCTAGTCTCTGTCTTTCTACGTATCTTCATTCATTTACTTGATTCAGCATGTGCTGTATACTTGCTCGATATCTGCATTTGTCTCCACAGGCTTGGCACATTCTTTTTTCCTGCAGAGCCTGCTATCCCCTACGCACTAAGTCAGCATTTTTTTGCCTCTGGAATTCTGTACTCCCTGATCCAGGATTAAAAGTTTTTCAGTATAACACATGCCATCATTTTGAACCATGTTGTCTGTTAGGGTGGGATGAAACAACGGTTGGCAAATCCTGTGGTGTGGATGGGGAGCCATCTCTGGAAAAAAAAAAAAAAAAGAATTAAGGCTGTACGTGGGCAAAATTTGAATTTCCCTGAAAGAAATTGATTAGTCTGGTATAGCCATTGTGATCTCTGAATATGATCAGGATCTATGAGCCCAACTAGGAAGGTCCTACAGGGGAATCTGGACAGGCTGGAAGGCTGGACTGAGCACAGCGGGATGAAGTTGAACATGACCAAATGCTGGGTCATGTGCTTTAGTCACAACAACCCCATGCAATGCTATGGTCGTCAAGCAGATTGGCTGGAAGACTGTGCAGAGGAAAAAGACCTGGGGGTGTTGGTCGATGCTTGGATGAACACAAATCAGCAGTGTGCTCAGGCGGCTAAGGAGGCCAATGACATCCTAGCTTATATCAGAAATAGCACAGCCAGCAAGAGCAAGGAGGTGATTGTCCCTCTGTACTTGGCACTGGTGGGGCCTCATCTCAAGTACTGTGTCCAGTTTGTGGCCTCTCACTACGAAAAAGACATTGAGGCCCTGGAGCATATCCAGCAACGGAGCTGAGATGGGTCTGGAGCACAGGCCTTACGAGGAGCAGCTGACAGAACTGAGATTGTTCGGTCTGGAGAAGGGGAAGCTCAGGGACACCTCATCACTTTTTGCAATAACCTAAAAGGAGGTTGTGGCAAGGTCTGGGTTGGTCTCCTCTCCCAGGTAACAGCGACAGGATAAGAGGGAATGGCCTCAAGTTACCAGGGGAAGATCAGGTTGGATATTAGGAAAAACTTATTTTCAGAAAGTAAGAGTGATGAGGGACAAGAACGGGGTGCCCAGGAAAGTGGGTGAGTCACTGTCCCTGGAAACCGTACAGGTACTGCACTAAGAAACATGGTTTAGTGGGCAACATTGGTGGTAGGTGGATGGTTGTCTAGATGATCTTTTCTAGATCATTTCTCTTTTCTAACATTGGAGATTCTATGATTCTATGATCTACTAGAGGTTAGGTCAGTGAATCTTGTGGGTGCCTTCCAACTTGAGGTATTCTATGATTCAAGAGACATAGGTAAAGAAAACAGGGAAAGCTTTCTTTTGCAAGTCCTTCTGGGTAGATGGTCTACTGAAACAGCATCTGTTCTTTCTGGTTCTTTATACTGGTTTCATAAAACTTTGTCAGACCCCTAGCAACATTTATGAAGAAAGTGTTCAAGTGTAAATGGTGAGAAAATAATTTATCTGAGTGGTCTTAGAGAAATGAAAAAATACATTTTTCCATCCCCTCTCATTATTGTCTTAATTCTGCATTACTATCCTCTCATTTAGTAAAAGTAGTTACTCCTTATGTGATTCCCATGCACAATTAATATTTACTAAAATAAAATGTAGCAGTCCCTTCTGCTTTCCCATGCTCACATCTATTGTATTTAACAAACTTCAGTTGAAAAATACAAACTAATGATATATTTCAATTTACAAAGCACATTTTTCATTTATGTCTGCAGAGCGTTTCTGTTTCTGACTGCAGAATTTCCTTTGTGTTTAAAGGATTCCCATGGGGGGAGAAATCAGTTCTCCAGATTCGCAGAAGCCCGTGACAGACTGCCCGTTTTGCATCTTTGGAATTTTAATGAGTTTTGTAAATTACTTCAAATCCAGTGCATTAAATTCACTCCTGTCCCTTCTAATATGATCCTTTGTAGATAATGCTTCTCAAGCCTCAGTGGGAAAAAATTAATCCTCTTGAATGTTGAGAAGTGTTAACATTGTTAGAGAGGATACATTTAACTAAAGACCAATGATATTTAAGACTGATGCTAATGTATCCCCTTCTCACCAATGAGATGGTTTGGGGTGGATTTGTGTGTGTGTGTGTGTTTTTGTTTTGCTGATTTGTTCTTAGTGCTTTTTTTTTTCTAATAAATAATGGAGAATTTATTTTTATACTGTTGGTTTTGGAGCTGTGATTTCCCACTCCAGCAGCTATTACGGGTGAAGTGTTGTATTGTGTTTCAGTATTCTGCAGGTCTTTCATGCCTGCTGGACAGGCTCAGGTACAAATAGAAATAGGTTTTTTGTGACTTGTTTTTGTTGGTAAAGCTAGTGTACAAAGTAGATATAAACTTTATATTCTTCTGGCACATCCACAGTGACCCACAGAAACTCATGTACAAATCAGTGTTGGAAAACCATCTGCTGTGGTTCTCAGGGGAGTATGTTGCCAGATTAATAATTTCATGGACTCTAAGAATTTGATTGATAATTGGTACCTCTCATGTATAATAGTTTCTGTACGCTGCCATTGAGTTCAGCTGTATTCCTTAGTGGCTTCAATTGATTTTAATCAGAATATGTAGCCAGAATGCTATATAGTTCTTTGTTGTTGGCATTTTTTCAAAGGCTTTTTGCAAAGTTGAGTTACTGTAGTAAAATCTTGGTCCATCTTTACTGAAGGCCTGAAGGCAATACTTTATGAATATACGATATCTCAAAAACTAACGTAAACAGGGTATACTGACTTGTGGACAGCGGGGAATCTACAGCGCTTGGAACCATGTGATTAAGTTACTAATTTGGTGGAAAATATTCCTTTGAGTCAGTTCTGTCCCAATACTCCCAAACATTTCAACCAGTGCTGTTTCTGGAATTGTCCTCCTTCAACTGGTTCATGCCCTCTTAAACATTTTCCTTATTATAAAATTGGAGTTACCAGCAGGAAGGATGAATGTTCCAAATCTTGACACAGAGAAATAAAAATTCCATTCATTTATTGTAAATAATGGCAATATCCTAGCAATTTCTATTAAATACAGTATTTTCTTTCACTTTGTCCTAAGCATGTCATTATGTTAATATTGGGCTCTGTAGAACTTCGGCTACATTTGGCATTTCAGATGGTTGTCCTGAAGTGAGGGATTTTGTTCCTTATGAAAGGAAATAACATTAAGAACATAATGATATGTTCCACTTTTTTATTTACAGTTCAGGGTGGTTTTTTGTTTGTTTGTTTGTTTGTTTTCTTATCTTTACAAAAGGAAAGAGTGGAGAAGAAGCAGAAACTTGATGAAAACCATCATTTATATATTTTGGTGGTGGTTTGCTGTGCTGTGGCTGGAAGGCAGCAGTGTGAGAAAGTAAAAAGACAACCAAACAGAGCAACCAGATATTAGTAACAGGCGACAGTGCTCATTCTGTTAATAGCTTAACCAGTGTTACAAATGTTTCTCATAACTTCAAAACCAGCTCTCTCTATCTGGGAGAGATTTTTTAGTTTCAACAGGTCCTACAGTGAAGTACATTCTAAAAGAATACTTCCTTTTGCAGAAAAGGATTTATCTGATAAAAATAATTTCCTTACCCCTGGGAATAGGAGGAGGCAGTGTTTTACTCCCTAGCTCCAAGCCATCAGAGGCTCTTTCCAGCCACCTTTGACATGTCCAGGCTTCACCCTGGTTGTTTCTGTCACCCCCAGGCGGCATTTTTTCTGCAC